TTTTTTGATCTGAGAGCGCATGTCAGAAGTCAGAAGTACATGCCCAAAGATGTGTCAAAACACATTTCAGACTTGACGGCAGAACAGGTGTCAAAACACGCCAAAAAGATGTCAGAACACATACCGGAACATTTCCCAGCTATACCAGAATTGATGCAAGAACAAATGTCAGGAGTGCACATGTCAGGCAGCGTCAGTGTTTGTTGCGATAGTCTGTCAATACCTCTGCCCTGCCTTCTTCCAAATCGCCCTTTAGGATGGCGCTTGATTGGGGAAACTTTGCCAAGATCATGCATGGACACACTGAGCGAATGTCAATGCAACAGAGCGAGACGTTCACATTTCCTTCCTTCCGCACATGTCCTTTACGTGTCGGACACCCCCTCCTGATCCTCCACCTGGCTGACACCTGACGTCCGTGTCAGGAACTGGACTCTCGACTTTCGCAGCTCAGCCAGAGTTGCGAGGAGCTGAAGCAGGCGAGCAGTGTTCCCACGCGTGATGCACAGCAAAACGCGTCCCGTGTGCGTTGGAACTTCAAGCTGGAAGGAAATCCCTTTTGTGACCAGTGGTTGGTTAGCACACCTTGTTGGACCAAACTCCTATAGGGTCAGCACCGAAATCCAGTTGATCTCTTTATTACAGTTGGTGCTCTCCAAGAACCAAATGCAGGGCTGGTCCTCCTGGCAGGATCTCCTCACAGAGACCCAGCGAAATGACAACGCCTGCCGCCTCATCGAAAGCCAAGCCCTCGAGGCACCGGTGGGGTGTGGATGCATAGGATGCTTGAGTCCAGATTCGAATATGATGCACCAATTGAATGCACACATGTCAACGGATGATACAGTATCAGTATCACAGTCTTGTTCAGCCAAGCTTGAGCAGACTTTTGGCCCGACATCCTGTTCCGTTACTTCAGGTGGCGGCCGGCTTGCGTGCGGAGGCCTCCAAGCGCCAGACACAGCTGGAGAACGTGTCGGGGCAGTTGGAGGCGAAGGCGCAGCAGCTGGCCGAGCAGGTCAATGGCGAGCGAGCGAAGCGGGAGGCTCAGCAGGTGCAACAGGACAGTGGAGAGGAGGGTTGGCCTTCCTTTCTGCATGTTTCTTGTTCTTTTCTCAATTTGATTGCCATCCACGTCAAGGAAGGCAGGGGGTCATCCACGTGCATTGTTGTTTTGCTTGGTTGTGGCATTGCCAAAATGTTGGAAATCCAAGAATTGGGAAGTTAGGATAAAAACATAATCTGTATATACTGTATGTCAAAGTATGCAAAGCTATTTATAGGAGCTTCTGTGCACGCATCACCAACAACTCGCAATTGCTGAGATGGATTTGCAGGAAGAGCAGTTCAAAGCTTTGATGGAGAGGCAGAAGGAAAAGCTGGCTGAGAGCTGCATAGAACAGCTTGCTCAGCTCAAAGAGCAACTCGCCGAGGCGGATTTGTCTAGAGCACTTGCTGCCATGTGAGTTGGAAAAATGCAACATTGAATTAATTAAGCGTTTCTTTTCTTGCTACTGTTTCTTGGCGATGTCAATGTCCAGATTGAAGCAACACTTTGCACCAGAAGGAGGTCTTACATGGCCCATGGTATGTTTCAAGTGAAGAGTGCGATGCTTTCGGGCTTTGTCAACTTGGGAAGGGCTGCATCAAAATAAGGGTGCGGTGCCCCCCCCCCACACTCTGTCTGGTGGGGAACATCTACAACCCATCTGAGTAGTATACTTGATGACCAAAGGAACCAAGACAAGTGGCACATCTACACTTTTATTTCAGGACCAGGTTCCCATCTCTACATCCCGGTCGCCTCGAAAGGAGGGCGCTCGCCGTGACCACGACATCTCCCAGCGGCAGCTGAACCTCCAGCAGCTGCGTGCAGACCTGGCGGAGCTGCAGCAGAGGCAGTCCATGGACTGTGCACAGCTGCGCATGAGCTGCGACACCAAGCTGCGTGAGGCAGCAACTTCCTGTGAGGAATTGAAGGAGGAGAGCAGATTTTGATTACATTGGGTTATGGCCATGAAGGCAGTGCAACATGAGGCTGTTCAGTTGGAGCTTTTCGCTAAGTCCGTTTGTCCAAGCTTTCCCAATTAACTAGTTTCCACTTGACTGGCCGACTGGATAGGTTCGTGATTCCCTCAACTAGGTTCCCTAGGCTTCTCCTTCGGCCCGTGCCACGAACGAGGAGCTGCAACGCTTGGAACAGGGTCGCGCCTGCGACCGAGCGGCCCTGGAAGGGGCCAACCGCACGGCAAGGGAGCAGCATCTAAGTCTGGAAGCTGGACTTCAAGGACCGATGAAAGTGGAGAGATTGTTACTCCTTTCACCTTGCTCGGATTTCTTCGGGCATTCTTTGGAAGTCCGTTCACTGATGTTGAGTGCACATATTGGTCTTGTTTTTGTTTAATCCGGTGGCGTCTTTTCGGATGACTGCATGACTTTTGATGAATTTCTCCGATCTCTGCCGTTCTCATGGCCCGCTGCTTGAGGACTGCAGGAGGACCTCCAGCGCGAGGTGCTGCTCCGGGAGGAGGTGCTGAAGCGCTCGGAGCAGAAACTCCGCGAGGAGGCGAAGCAGCTGGCCGCCGGCGGTCAACAGCTGACGCAGAAGCTGCAAGAACAGCTGCACAACTTGGAGGAGACCAGCAGGTGTGGCCAACCGAGGGCTTCAACCCCCAAAACCGAGGGATTCTGATGCCCAGTCGTCCAGTGTGCGGTGCAGATTCCACAGGTTTTCGAAGTACTTGGGACCTTTGAGTTCCCCCCCCCAAAACGGTCGACTCGAACCAGGCAACGGCTGGCGGAAGAAGCCAAGAGGCGAAGCCGAAACAGAACGATGGTTTGGGACAGGAGCAGGAGGAGGAAAATGGATTTGCCTGGAAATGAGGGAACCCCCCCAACCAGATCCAACCAATCAGAAAAACGACCATCTGCCATTCGGGCAATGGTCCACTCAATTCCCGAGACAGTCCCAACTGAGCTGTTTCGCCATGAATTCCAGAGAGGAATAGACACCAAGATGACCTGAGAGGTGATTTGCGAAAGTTGCGTTCGCATTGTGCTTGGGTCCAGGTTTTCCAGGGTTTGCCAACAAAATGAACCTAGATACGGTGTGTGCTCACCCCACACTGTGCGCTCCCACCAGGCACTTTCTGAAACACAGGTGCACAGAGGGCCAGTTCGTATCTTGGTCACCCACCCATGGACCACGGAGAGATAGGCTGATCGCTGGCGCGACCAGCTCCAGCCTGGAACCGTCGCTGATCGTCCAGGTCAAAAGCGTCGCTGGAGAAGGTGTCCGCACAGATGTCTGCCTTGGTGGAGGATATGGACTGGACCCGGTGTGGCAAAGCTGCTTTCTGCTGTGGGACTTCAAAGAGTTGAAAAGACCAAAAGATGAATTTGATGTGCATTGATTTGTTGATGGGTCACCAGGCACTAAGAGCTGTGACATTTGCTTTTGAATGGCTTGTTTTCCATGTCTTTTGGCAATAGCAGATGTTCCATGGCTCTCGTGTCTAGAATAGATGCGATGTGTGGTGTGATACATCCCTCGATCCCAGAGCAGGAGAAGGCGCAGGCTCTCCAACCTGAGCAGACCCAGGACAGGAATCAGACGACGAGTGAGTTCAGCAAGAAGAACTTCCGGTTTCAGCGAGCTGTTTCAGCGAATCCAAAGCGACCCACCTCGCGACGGTGACCGCATTCCTCGGACCCGCCGAGTTGCAGATCGCTTCGTGCCCAACAAGCATTGAACCAAGGAGTTTTCTTTTTAGACCAAGAATGGACAGATCCTCCCTCCTGTTGCCGCATTGGGTCCTCAAACGAGCGAGATCTGATCCACCAGCCTCCAGGAGCTGGCGCGAAGCCTGGCGCAGCTGGAACGGCGCCAGGGCCTGGAGGAGGCACAGCGCCAACAGGCGCCGAAGTCGCCGGCGGGAGGTCTGTAGCAACTCTTGGATCTGTGAGAGCCAAGGAGCCCAGTTTTTCAGGTGTAGTGACAGACAACGACCCCAAAAAACATCCCGGTTTCAAAAGGGACGGGTTTAATACGTCCCATTCCAGGGCCATGCAGGGCCATGCAGGGGTGGACGTTCTGGGCACCCCCTTAGACACTCCGCCAGTGGTGGGGGTGCAGGACCTTTGGTTTTGAGAAGCAATGCTTCGGAGCAAAAGACCAAACCAAGACCCTTTTTGAACGGACGGACACAGTCTCCTTCAAATGATCCCACCACGGCCATAGATTGAAGAATGAATCCTCTTTCCTGTGGTATCTTTTTTTGGGAGCACTCTGTTTAACTTAGTTAAGGTCTCTGGACTCTAGTCGATCTCTAGTCCCTAAAGTCTCCATCACGACATGCTTTGGACTTTTATGGTTGGACTTTTCAACTGTTCCACTGGCGGACTCGACTCTTGCATCGTACCTCAGGCGATGACGAGGATCCTGGTGGGACCTGTTGTGGATTGAGACAGGAACCGCGAGACGGACCCCTAAACCTCGAAGGTGGAGAGAACTGGAAGACTGGACGATTCACCTTCGGAGCCAACGAAAAATATGGATCATGATGGTCAGTTGAGTGAGGACCTCCGATCCCTTTGTCCATCCATGAAAAGTGATTGAAGAGGATGGTGATGCAACTAGTTGAGCTACGACCAAAACCGCCAAATGGTCCCCCCGAGCGTTCTCCGTGTTCCCGTCACAGAATTCAGCTTATGCTTTCACTCAAGGACAAACCATCATGCAACCACAAGTCACCCTGGATATATCCTGTTGACTCAACCAGTTCATGGCGGAAATTTGTTCGAATACCTGATGAATCTGGCCAGAAAAGGGATTCCGGGATGGCCATTGTGAGTGACGGGACCGTTCGGTCCCAAGCGGACCAGGGCGCGATCTCCCTCCAGCGTGCTCTTGATGCCCTTCGAGACGATCTCTTGGGGGAGGCCAAGCCGATTGAAAGCCAATCCGATGTTTTCATCTTGTTGGGTTGCCCATGGTTGACCCATCTGGCCAAGGGTTGGATGCGACCGCCCGCGCCTAGGTGAAGGAGAGGCGGCAACAGGGTGTGGCCCGAGGACCCAGGCCCTCCGAAGAACCCCTAGCGGCAGCGAGTGGGTTTGAGCACCTTCCCTAGTTGGAGAGGAGCTGAGGTGGATCGACATTGCTGGCAAATGCCTTGAAATCAAAGCACCAAAGCCACAAGTATCTCAAAACACTGCGTGCGTTTCTAGGTGATTCTGTTTCAGCCTTGCATGGCAATTTGAACAGATGCTTGTTGTCCCATCCTGTCAGCCCATTACTCATCGGAAATGATTGCATTGATCAATTCCGCGGTGACAGCAACCCAACATAATTTTGGCACATTCTTGAGTGAAGTCAATCCAACAAAAACCATCGAACGCCGATGAGTGTGTCTATGGGATGGACCCTTCCAAAACCATGAGGACATCGAAAGGAGAAGTCTTTCGAAGAAATCGGTGGGCTCCCGCACGAGGGTGGAGGCCATCGCTATTAGGGTGGAGGCCATCGCTAATAGAAACAAAGAAAATAGACAAGAAAGACATATATATATTTAGTCGCTTTATAGGTTCCCTGTCCGGTTGTGTGGGGCCACCTAGGCTGCGACCCAAGAAGTGCAATCGCTGATCCGTTCCTGGCAACTGCGGGAGGACAAGTCGGAGGTCCAGTGCTGAGTCACATGGAAACGGACAATGGGCAGCTAGTGAAGTGGGAGCTGGCCGTGAGTCATTTTCTTGAAGCCCGCGAAGCATCGAGTGATCCTTTTTGTTGATATCTTCCTTTTCGTCGGAGGTGACTTTGGGATCACTGTTGTCTTCACAATGTGTATGATTAGGGTTTGTCCTATTACCTGTAACAGTCAGTAAACAAGCAAATCATCATTTTTGAACAAGGCCTGCCACCTAACCATCATCATCCACTGAGGCCCAGGTAGACTCGGATAGACCCAATTACTGTATGATTCTTTTGGATCACTGCTGCAGTTGGGTTCTCCCCCAAACATCCGTGCTGCAGGCGGGTCACCAGCAGCTGCTGGCGGAGCTCACAGATTTGAGGGAGCGCATTAGCCGCGAGGCGAGCGAGCGTTCTTGGGGGGGTGTTGAAGCAGAGTGTATGTTGAATGTGCTTGGTGTTGCTGTTTTGGGAAGGTGCTCAAATACCCGACTCATGACTCGACTTTCTTGACTGAGGACTGAGAGGGTCCTTTTGGGCTTTGAAGTATTCGTCATTTGTTTCACCATGACACGGGTGGGGGCTGCCACGATGTTGATTCCCACCACTGGATCAATCACTAGTGACTAGTGCTTTGTTTCTTTCTCAATGAAGTATCCACAGTTCAGTTGAGGACTCGTACATTAGCGAGAGCCTGCAGGCACCGCTAGAGAGTCAAGGATCTACGACTCACTTCGGACCAATCCACATCACCAACGCTTCACGCGTTTCGCGGCGCGCAGTTTGAAGCTTTTCAAGGCTGTTTCAGAACCTTGGGTGGCGAACTGTAGGGCCACCTGCTAGATCCAAGAGTTGCAAAGTATCCCGATTGTTTAATGGCAGCATGATGTCTTGGCTTTGGCACCATTCTCTGAAATTGTAATGCATCCTGGGGCAAAAGCATTGTCTACCCAGTGGCCCATGAGGCACCTCACACACTTACAGACCAAGACCAAGACTAGACCTGGCCGCAGTGTGCTTCGTTTTCGGTCTGACCTCCGATTCGGTGACCGAACACGCCGATCTCACCCGCGCGGTGCCGGTCATGGCGGATGAGACCGATTTGGCGCGACCACGGAAGAGTGATATGCTGGAGATCGACCAGGAGGAGCGAGCCGAGAGGACCAACACTCCCCCCTCTCAGGCCCCACTTCCAGGCCTTCTCTCGGTGGAGTGCTTCGACTCGTTTGTTGGAGGCGACACGGCGGACGGTCCTTCTTATTAGCTTCAAGATCGAAGGAAGGCACAGGTCTTTGAGCGGTTTTTTGGGAGTTCGAGTGTGACGGAGTGCCTGGCTTGCTAGGAGTTTGGGCCGAGTCTTTGTGTGCCTGGCGTGCTAGGAGCCTTGGCAGCAGTCTCTTTTCACCGGTTAGCCGAGTGTCGGGTGTCCAACAATCACCAAGAAAGGTTTGTGGTGCTTCAGAAGCACGTGGCAGTCAACGTGACAGTCGCTTGCCTCAGTCGCATGCTCTGCAGGTGGCTCACTCCTCTTCGCGGTGGTGGCTCGGTCTGTGAAGAAGGGGCGCTTTCCGGCGCGGCGGGAAACGCCGCGGCGTCTACGCCACGATTTCCAGGTGGAAACGGTTGCAGCGAGTGGCACGGCGCATGGGAGCCACATATCGCTCATGGGGAGATGATATGGACATTGAGAGATGAGACCCGCAAGGTCGTAGGAACCCAGATGGCTTGAACCTAGTGAGACCGGATGGCTTGCTTTGTTAGCATTGATGGTGATCGATCCATCCAGCTTCATCCTTTGCACCGGTCACCGGCCTCATCAATTGCTTGGCTTTCTCACAACCAAGAAACAGACAGCTGGGGAATATATATCTCACCAACCATTCTACCCATAGGTGTTGGATATGTGCACGAACAGGTGGTCTTCCAGATGTGCTCGATGATCTCCGTCCAAAGAGGTGGCTCACCTGGCTGTCCCAAGGACTCTCCTGATCGACCAATCGACTGATCAACTGGCCGCCTCAGGTCTTTGGCTCCTTAGGCCTTCTCCTCCAAGGGCCTCAGAGCCCAGCGCAGCTCACCCTGCAGAGCCTGGGTGGGACCTTGGGCGCCTACGGCACCGCCACCATGCACAAGGCGGGGTCTGGAGATGGGATCTCCTTCACATGTGTGAGACTGGACCCCAGAAGATCCACCTTTTCCAGGTCTATCAGATGCATTTCACAATTCACCTGTCAGGCATCGGAGGGCGGCCGATCGGGCGGCCGCTCCGGCGTCCGGCGCCTGTTGCGGATCGCGCTGGGCGCCGCGTGCGGCACGGGCTGCAGCGCCGTGGCCTTCACTGCCGAGACTTGGGACCTGGGAGGCCGAGACTGGGGACCTGGGAGTCTGTGGATGGGATGGGAAGGACTTAGGCTGTTGATAGAATACAATCAACAGGCTAGATTAGTAGGACGGGGCTTGAAAGAAACTGGGGGTCAGGTGCTGAGAAGTGATTTCCGTGAAGACTCCCAGAAGGTGGTGCTCAGGGCCTCAGGCATCACTGTACCCCCACTTGGGAAGCACCCAGGTGCTGATTGCAAGGTCATAGAAAGTGTGCGAACTTCAGCCACCTGCCAAACAGCGAACTGTTTGTGAGGCTAGTGTACTAAGTGTACTAATTAGAAGAAACACTTCTTTCTTCTCACTTTGTTTTCCCAAAGTTTCGGTTTGCTCTGCGAACTTCTCAAACGGCCAACCGCTCGAGGCCTCTTCGCCTCTGCCACTCGTGTGAAGAAACGAGGGGGTGGAGGAGCTTAGACTCGGCTTAGACCGTGGATGGAAGACATATGAAGAAATCTATCCCACCAACCTAGAAGCGATGGCCTCCAAGAAATCCAGCCCACCTGGTGGGGGATGCTGTCCTCAAGTCTGAAATGCTTTCGGAGTTGCTGAGCGCACTCCTGGGAGTTCTGAATCGACTCTTTGTGATCGGAATTTTGTTGAGAACGATTTTATGCCTTTTGAAGTTGTTCTATGGCAACCCTTTCTATTGGCCTGTTGATTTTGAAATTTAGGCATCGGAAAGTCGAAGCGAATCCTGCGCAAGTCGATTTGTGGGGTTGTGGCATGTGGAGATGGAAGTGCGAGAAGTCTTCAGAGAATCTATTATACTTAATTTTTCTTTGAGTCTGTTGGAGACTCACGAGAGCTTTCACGAACTGGCGGTTCTCTTCTCCGAATCCATGCGCTGTGGCCAGTTCACAGTATATGTAAGTGGACCCAAACACAGCAGGTTCTGCCTCCGTTTGGACACAGTTCTTCCAGGTGGTTTTCTCTTGATCGGACGGACCTGCACCATCTGTGTGTGATCTGTGAGTTTCGACTTCTAAAACACCTGCACCACCGAGCGACTTGACCCTCTCCACCGGTGCGAACGTCGCGCAACCGCGCCGAGGCCATGCTCACGGCCCTAGGGAGCGTCCTGGTGGCCCTGTCCACGGACCCGGACTACACGTTAGGAGAAGTCTTGGAGACCATCCTTCAAAAGCCGCCATGAGCATCATGAGCCAAAAAAAA